TGGTGAGAAAGTGGTGGGACATCATGAGGAGAAGGTGGGAGAAGGTGGGGAGATGATGAGAAGGTGGTGGGGCATCATGAGAAGAAGGTGGGAGTTGGTGGGACATGGTGGGGGAGCAGTGGGAGTGTGGTGAGAGGTGGTGGGACATCATATGGAGAAGGTGGGAGATGGTGGGGAGGTGGTGAGAAGGTGGGACATGGTGGGAGATGGTGGGAGAGTGGTGGGACATGATGAGGAGAAGGTGGGAGAAGCTGGGACACGGTGGGACATGGTGGGAGAAGATGGGAGAAGGTGGGGAGGTGGTGGGAGAGTGGTGGGAGTGTGGTGGAACATCATATGGAGAAGGTGGGAGAGTGGTGGGACATGATGAGAAGAAGGTGGGAGATGGTGGGAGAAGGTGGGGAGATGATGAGAAGGTGGTGGGACATCATGAGAAGAAGATGGGAGATGGTGGGGAGGTGGTGAGAAGGTGGGAGATGGTGGGAAGAAGGTGGGAGAGTGGTGGGACATCATGAGAAGAAGGTGGGAGATGGTGGGAAGGTGGTGAGAAGGTGGTGGAACATTGTGAGAAGAAGGTGGGACATGGTGGAGAGGTGGTGGGAGAAGGTGGGAGAAGGTGGGAAGTGTGGGACATCACGAGAAGAAGAAGGTGGGAGATGGTGGGAAGAAGGTGGGAGGTCATGAGGAGAAGGTGGGAGATGGTGGGGAGGTGGTGAGAAGGTGGGACATGGTGGGAGATGGTGGGAGAGTGGTGGGACATGATGAGGAGAAGGTGGGAGAAGCTGGGACACGGTGGGACATGGTGGGAGAAGATGGGAGAAGGTGGGGAGGTGGTGGGAGAGTGGTGGAAGTGTGGTGGGACATGATGAGAAGGTGGGAGATGGTAGGGAGGTGGTGAGAAGGTGGGAGATGGTGGGAAGAAGGTGGGAGAGTGGTGAGACATCATGAGAAGAAGGTGGGAGATGGTGGGAAGGTGGTGGAACATTGTGAGAAGAAGGTGGGACATGGTGGAGAGGTGGTGGGAAGTGTGGGACATCACGAGAAGAAGAGAGTGGGACATGGTGGGAGGTGGTGGGACATCATGAGGAGAAGGTGGGAGAAGGTGGAACAAGGTAGGAGAGCAGTGGGGAGATGATGAGAAGGTGGTGGGACATCATGAGGAGAAGGTGGGAGAAGGTGGGAGATGGTGGGAAGTGTGGGACATCACGAGAAGAAGAAGGTGGGACATGGTGGGACGAAGGTGGGAGGTGTCAGGAGATGCTCGGAGATGGGTGAGGAGCTGGGAGAAGGTGAGAGGACACTGGGAACATCCATCTGTGGATCCCATCCCGTAAATCCCATAAATCCCATAAATCCCATCCCATAAATCCCATAAATCCCATAAATCCCATAAATCCCATCCATCCCATCCTGTAAATCCCATAAATCCCATAAATCCCATAAATCTCATCCCATAAATCCCATAAGTCTCATCCCATAAATCCCATAAATCCCATCCATCCCATAAATCCCATAAATCCCATAAATCCTATAAATCCCATAAATCTCATCCATCCCATCCCATAAATCCCATAAATCCCATAAATCCCATCCCATAAATCCCATCCCATAAATCCCATCCATCCCATAAATCCCATAAATCCCATCCATCCCATCCATCCCATACATCCCATCCCATAAATCCCATAAATCCCATAAATCTCATCCAATAAATCCCATAAATCCCATAAATCCCATAAATCCCATCCCATAAATCCTATAAATCCCATCCATCCCATCCCATAAATCCCATAAATCCCATCCCGTAAATCCCATAAATCCCATAAATCCCATAAATCCCATAAATCCCATAAATCTCATCCCATAAATCCCATAAATCCCATCCCATAAATCCCATAAATCCCATCCCATAAATCTCATCCCATAAATCCCATAAATCCCTTAAATCCCATCCCGTAAATCCCTTAAATCCCATAAATCCCATCCATCCCATCCATCCCAACAGATCCATCCTGATCCATCCCATCCCAGTCCCCACTGATCCTGTTGGGAATTCCCCAGAACTTTCTGGAACCCTGATCCCGTCGGGAATCCCCCAGAACTTTCTGGGACCCTGATCCCGTCAGGAATTCCCCAGAACTTTCTGGAACCCTGATCCCGTTGGGAATTCCCCAGAACTTTCTGGAACCCTGATCCCGTCGGGAATTCCCCATCACCATTTTTAACCCCTTCCTCGCCAAACCCTCCCATAACTCCCCCACCCTTTGCTTCCCACCCAAACCTCCCTGGAGTTTTTCACCATCCCAGAGCCCGGGATTCCCGGAATTCCCGGAATTCCCATTTTTTCCCCCCGGCTCAGGTGTGCTCGGCGTGTCCCATGATCCTGGCCAACCGCTGCAGCTTCAGCGCGCACCAGCGCATGCACCGCAGCCGCCCGCCCCACGTGTGCCCCGAGTGCGGCGGCAACTTCCTGCTGGCCAACTTCCAGAGCCACCTGCGGGAGTCCTGCCTGCACTTCTCCCGCAGGGTGGGATACAGGTAATCCCGGGAATAACCGGGAATAACCGGGAATAACCGGGAATAACCGGGGATTCTGGGAATAACCGGGGATTCTGGGAATAACCGGGAATAACCGGGGATTCTGGGAATAACCGGGGATTCTGGGGATTTCCTGCTGGCCAACTTCCAGAGCCACCTGCGGGAGTCCTGCCTGCACTTCTCCCGCAGGGTGGGCTACAGGTAATCCCAGGAATGCCGGGAATAACCGGGAATAACCGGGAATAACCGGGGATTCTGGGAATATCTGGGAATTCTGGTTATTCTGGGAATAACCGGGAATTCTGGGAATAACCGGGGATTCTGGGAATAACCGGGGATTCTGGGGATTTCCTGCTGGCCAACTTCCAGAGCCACCTGCGGGAGTCCTGCCTGCACTTCTCCCGCAGGGTGGGATACAGGTAATCCCGGGAATGCCGGGAATAACCGGGAATGCCGGGAATAACTGGGAATAACCGGGAATAACCAGGGATTCTGGGAGTTCTGGGAGTTCTGGGGCGGGAATTTCCTGCTGGCCAACTTCCAGAGCCACCTGCGGGAGTCCTGCCTGCACTTCTCCCGCAGGGTGGGATACAGGTAATCCCGGGAATGCCGGGAATAACCGGGAATAACCGGGAATAACCGGGAATAACCGGGGATTCTGGGAATAACCGGGAATAACCGGGGATTCTGGGAATAACCGGGGATTCTGGGAATAACCGGGGATTCTGGGGATTTCCTGCTGGCCAACTTCCAGAGCCACCTGCGGGAGTCCTGCCTGCACTTCTCCCGCAGGGTGGGATACAGGTAATCCCGGGAATAACCGGGAATAACCGGGAATAACCGGGAATAACCGGGGATTCTGGGAATAACCGGGGATTCTGGGAATAACCGGGAATAACCGGGGATTCTGGGAATAACCGGGGATTCTGGGGATTTCCTGCTGGCCAACTTCCAGAGCCACCTGCGGGAGTCCTGCCTGCACTTCTCCCGCAGGGTGGGATACAGGTAATCCCGGGAATAACCGGGAATCCCGGGAATGCCGGGAATAACCGGGGATTCTGGGAATAACCGGGAATAACCGGGGATTCTGGGAATAACCAGGGATTCTGGGAGTTCTGGGGTGGGATCAGGGAAAGGTCCAGAAATGGAATTGTTGGGGATTTTCCAAGAGCCCACGACAGGTTTGGATCCTGATCCCATTGGGAATTTCCCAGAATTTCTCGGGATCCTGATGCCGTTGGGAATTCCGGGATCCTGATGCCGTTGGGAATTCCCCGATCTCATTGGGAATTCCCGGATCCCTTTGGAATCCTTGATCTCTTTGGAACCCCCAGTCCCATTGGGAATTCCCAGATCCCTTTGGAACCCCTGATCCCACTGGGAATTCCCGGATCCCTTTGGGAATTCCCAGATCCCGCTGGGAATTCCCGGATCCCTTTGGAACCCCTGATCCCACTGGGAATTCCCAGATCCCGTTGGGAATTCCTGGATCCCTTTGGAACCCCTGATCCCACTGGGAATTCCCGGATCCCTTTGGATCCCCCAATCCTGCTGGGAATTCCCTGATCCCTTTGGGAATTCCCGGCTCTTTTTGGAACCCCTGATCCCACTGGGAATTCCCGGATCCCTTTGGATCCCCCGATCCCTTTGGGAATTCCCGGATCCCTTTGGGAATTCCCTGCTCTTTTTGGAACCCCTGATCCCACTGGGAATTCCCGGATCCCGCTGGGAATTCCCAGATCCCTTTGGATCCCCCAATCCCGTTGGGAATTCCCGGATCCCTTTGGATCCCCCAATCCCACTGGGAATTCCCGGATCCCGCTGGGAATTCCCGATCCCGTTGGAACCCCCGATCCCGCTGGGAATTCCCTGATCCCGCTGGGAATTCCCGGCTCCCGTTGGAACCCCGTTTCCCTCCGGATCCCCGCAGGTGTCCCAGCTGCTCCGTGGTGTTCGGCGGCGTCAATTCCATCAAATCCCACATCCAGAGCTGTCACTGCGAGGTTTTCCACAAGTGCCCCGTGTGTCCCATGGCCTTCAAATCCTCCCCCAGCGCCCAGGGCCACCTGTGCGCGCAACACCCGGCCTGCGGCGCGCAGCCCGCCAAGTCAGTGCTGCGGGAACGACACCGGGGGAACACGCGGCGGGAAAAACACCGGGAAAAACACCGGGAAAAACGGCGGGGAACGGCGGGAATAACAGG